TGGCCAGAACGCCTGGCTCTCCTATCAGCTGATCAGAGCAACAGAACCGGGGCTCTTCACCCTGGGACTCCACACTGGAGAGATCAGGACCGCTCGGCTGTTTCTGGAGAAAGACGCCCTGAAGCAAATCCTGGTGGTTTTAGTGAAGGACAATGGCCAACCGCCTCTCTCTGCCTCAGTGACTCTCACTGTTGTTCTGGCTGACAACATCCCTGAAATTCTCTCAGATCTGAGCAGCATCTCAGCTCCTGTAGGTCCTCAGTCAGATCTCACATTTTACCTGGTGATCGCAGTGGCGTTTGTCTCCTGCTTGTTCTTCACATTCCTCCTTGTCTTATTGGCCATCAGGTTGCACAGGTGGAGGAATTCAAAACTGTTAGAGTCAGGAAGTGTACATTTTAGTGGGGTTCCGGTGTCACAATTTGTGGGGATGGATGGAGTCCGAGCCTTTCTTCAGTCTTACTGCCACACTATTTCACTGACCAGAGATTCTAGAAAAAGCCACTGCAATTTTCATAAGGAAAACTGTTCAAGTACTCTGACCAACCAACCTCTAACCTGTGGGGTGAGTGACCCTATCCTAGCCTGTGGGGATTTACATTTGAAGAATGATGAGCAAATCTTAGTCAAGGTGAGTTAAATATTTTAGATTAATGATGTGTTCCTATAAGCCCTCATTTATCTCAACAGTGATTTCCTATCACTCTGCTCTCCCTAATGAACCTTAATACTCAAATGTTCTAAAAGTCTGATTTTGCATTCCTTATAATAATCTGTTTGTTTACCATTTTTCTGTTATGTTGGTGATATGAAATTTCTGAGGAATTTATGTATATGGTTACACATAGAAAAGAACATTGGTGTGAAAATATTATGTTAGAAATGCATTAGATTGTCTTAATACATTTTCATATTTTATATGAAAACTTTTTCAGAAAAATATAGACATAATATTTGTAAGCATTTCATCCTTTTCCCCTTCAATTCATATTTTATTTTTTTAGGAATACTGATAGAACAGAGGAAAAAAATAAAAAATACATAGCTTAATTTCACTCACTTTAGATTAATGTTAGGTCCAGCTAGTAACAGGAATAATTACTTTCAGATGTCTGACTGCATGACTTTCACATTCCCCAGCTAACAGAGTGAGAAATTATTTCCTGGGCCTATTTTACTGCTCCATACCAAATATCTTTAGCTCTCTCATTAAGTTTCTAAGAATTCGAGATTGTAATGTGGCTAAAACTTGCTTCCTTATTAACTCTGACTGATAAACCAACTGATCTGGCTATCATGAGGAGAATTTCAAGAAAATTGTGACTGTTGTAAAGAATATTCCAGAAAAAAAGGCCATGAAAATGCCAACTAAAGCAACAATTGCTAAACTTTATCGGTTTGTGGCATCCTTAACGTCTCTGCAATTTTCTCACAGTACCCCTAGGCTAATAGAAATATCTAACAGTATTTCCTTCAAAAAATTAAAATATCCCTTGTCAGCCCTGTGATTTTACTGTGGTGCACTGAGGCACCACTGTGCGCAGTTTGAGAACCATGTAACTAAAGAAAAGAACATCTATATAGCTCCCAAATTTCTAAGCTATGTTGTTACTGAGCTCAACACAGAAGAAATTATGTTTCCAGAAACTAGCCATGATTTTAATGTAAATGTAATATAAAATGCGATCATACCAGCAGTGAATGTATATGATTTATAGATGGTGCCCATTTTGTAAATAGTGTCAGTGCATTCAGTTCAAAATTCCATTACTTTCTTGACTCAGAGAAACTCAGACCATTTGCAAGACATTACAATAATGATATGGATGGATTTGAAACAGAACTGAAACTGTTTTCAAATGTTTTGGAGAAGTGTAGACGTGAAAGAGAAATAAAAATTGCCACAATAAACCAAGGGTTTAATCTACTGGAATAAATAAATACGTCTATAAGCGAATCCTACTATTTATGTGCTATGGCCCTCACCATACTTCCAACAAAGGCAGGTTGCAATTACTTTTGTGTGTGCATCAAATTAAGACCTATCTGAGGAGTAGTATGGACAAGGAACACCTAAGTAACATTGTTATACTGGCAATAGAAAAGAGCCTCTCCAAAGCTTGAAGCACTCACTGCTTTGCAGAACCGTGTAAGAATTGTCATGTGCACTTTGCCTCCATTCTCCTCCCTCTCACTGACTTCCCACTTGATTAATTGATCAATAAGAACTTGGATAACCAACATGTAATGGATGTTACATTGAATTCTTGTAAGCTGCTTAGAGTCACTTATATAGTGAGATGGGCAGTGTATAAATTTGATTAAATAAATAAATAACAGCATATCTCGCTATTATTTCCTGGCCAGGGGAATGTCCCAATTTGCTCTGCTTCCTCTCACTGATACCTAGTGTATTTCTGAATGTTCCTGTACTAGTACTAGCTCAAAAGTAAGCAACTATATTTTTGAAAGAAATAGATTGCCAATTTATTTTTTGTTTGTTTAAAAGCAAACTTGATTGGGAGATGTTTTCCTTGTTGTAATTCGGAATTTGGTTGGCAAATGCTCGATTGAAGCACAGAGAGCAAATTACTATGCCACGTGATTTCATTTAAATCAGGGGGATTTATTTCAAACAGCATAGGTTTAGGATGAGTGCTTGCCCACACTGAAATTCAGTGTGTACCCCTTCTAACCGACACATTGTACCAAGGTTTCTGGAGCACAAATGCTATAAAGCCATGAATTAAGGGGTGAAACTTATTGTTGAGATTAAATAATAGCTATAGATCTACTAATAAGAATTATGAGTTTGCAGTCATCTAGTTGGATTATTTCTATACAATAATCTATATCCCACCTACTGACTGGCTAACTGGGCCTTGACTTTCAAGTGCAGATTATTGCCTACTGAGAATCATAAGTCCTCTGCTTACTTCCTGAGTATTTTGATGCTTTCCTCATCTTCTAGCCTTCTAGAATTAAGAAGGTGAAACCCAGATTCTTTCAGTGGAAAGAAATTAGGAACCCCAGTTAGTCTCATCATCAGATAATTACATTTGTCAGAAAATTAAAACAAAGAACTATCATTATGGAGAGTTAACTAAATGTATATCAATTGTTCAGCAGCTGATGTTGCAATGCCGCTGGAAAATCATCAAATAAGTTACAGCTTGAATAATTTTGAATCATTTTTTTGTCACAAAAAGCAACATGGAATTAAAGGTTTATCAGGAAATGCAGTTCCCAGTGTAGGCTCCGAGTGTCACTGTTGGACAATAGCAGCCTCGGATTAGTGCTCCGTTCTTCTGTATCCCTGCAGTTACATTTCAACTGACAGAAAGCAGATGCAGCAGGAAGCTTTATTCTAACAGCTATTCCGGAAACAACAGGATCAGCTAGTTAAGATCATTTTCTCCAATATTACTGCTAAATACTGTGAAATTGGAAAGTATAACTGTAAGAAGAAAAAACAAAAAAGAAAGTCAATAAGAGGGATGGAAGCAAGCTACACAAAGGGAATACAGGAATTCAACTGGAGGCAAGTACTCTTTCTGTTCATATTCTGGTCTTTGGTCAACTGGGTGGTATCTGAGCAGGTTCAGTACTCACTTCCAGAGGAAACAGAAAAACATTCCTTTGTGGGGAACCTTGCTAAAGATTTAGGGTTAGATGTTGGACAGCTGCCAAAACGCAAACTTGCTATCTCTTCAGAAAAGCAATACTTTGCTCTGAATGAGCAAAATGGTGATCTATATGTGAATGACAGAATAGACCGGGAAAAGATTTGTGGAAAATCACCTACTTGTATCCTACAGTTAGAAGTTGTGGCACATAATCCTTTGAATATTTTCCATATAAAAGTGTTCATCCTAGATATTAATGATAATGCCCCATATTTCCGGAAGAAAAATATCAATTTAAAGTTGAGTGAGTCTAATTTGCCAGGGGCTCGATTTGCCCTTGGAAATGCTGAAGACGAGGACATTGGAATCAACTCCCTTCAAGATTATCATTTGAGTTCAGCCTCATATTTCAAACTAGAAATCCAAGATAGCAAAGATGGTGGCAAATATGCAGAATTAATTTTGCAAAAGCCACTGGACAGGGAAAAAGAGCGCATGCACCACTTGATTCTTACAGCTTCAGATGGGGGACATCCGGTGAAAACTGGGACTCTTAACATAGAAGTTAATGTTATTGATACAAATGACAATCCACCAGTTTTTTCCCAGGCAACCTACAAAGCAAGTCTGAAAGAGAACACACCAAGAGGGACTTCTGTGCTTCAAGTGAAAGCGTCTGATCGTGATGAAGGGTCAAATGCTGAGATATCTTACATTTTCTGCGATATTCCAGAACATGTGAATCAAACATTTAATTTGGATCCCATTGATGGAACAATTTCACTTAAAGAAAGTATAGATTTTGAGGACAAAGGAAGTTATGTGATGATTATACAGGCACGTGATGGAGGTGGACTGGTGGGACATTGCAATGTAGAGATTGAGGTTCTTGATGAAAATGACAATGCTCCAGAAGTAATTATTACATCTGTATCCAGCCCTGTTCCTGAAGATATTCTACCT